CAGAACAGTTTATAATTGAGACATATAAATTATAGAGACGAACACATGTTTATTTGGTTCTGATTTCTGAATAACTATGGTGCAGCCGGAGTATATCCACCGTAAGGTGGGGGTGTTAGGTATTGTGACGGTGGTGGATACTTCTTGATCGGAGGCGACGGATAATACGCTACCGGCGGAGGATATTTCTTGGTCGGAGGCGATGGATAATACTCTACCGGCGGAGGATATTTCTTGGTCGGAGGCGATGGATAATACTCTACCGGTGGAGGGTAAGTCTTTTGCGGCGGAGGGTAAGTCTTGTACGGCGGTGGTGGATACTCCACCGGCGGAGGAGGGTAAGTCTCGTACGGCGGTGGTGGATACTCCACCGGCGGAGGAGGGTAAATCTTGCGCGGCGGAGGTGGGTAAGTCTTGCGCGGCGGCGGCGGATACTTCACCGGAGGACATTCCACCGGCGGCGGATACTCCACGGGCGGAGGAGGGTAAGTCTTGCGCGGCGGCGGTGAATATTCCACCGGAGGAGGGTACGTTTTGGTTGGCGGAGGATACGTTTCGGTCGGCGGAGGTGGATACTTCTCCGGCGGAGGTGGGTACTTTTCCGGTGGCGGCGAATATGGATATTCCGGAGATGGTCGCCATTTAAAAGGTGGCTTCTTCCAAGGGCAACCAAACAAATGACAAAGAAAATTTGGAGAAGAAGAAGAATCAGAGGCCAAACAAAAACTTCCTTGCGTTACAAACACCACCACTAGAACTAAAGTTACTACAAAAGACTCCATTTTTTCTTCTTGTTGCTGTGAAGAAAAGATAGCAACTTGTTTTAAACTTAAATAGAGACTCAAAGACTCTTTAACTTTAACTACACATTGAAGTGAGATTGCCACATTGCTTTTAAACCTCACAGATGGTTTTAAAACCCTAAATTCAGGATGCAATGTGACAGAGAAGCTTTTGGATCCATTCACCACCTTTGAGCTTGACGGTTTCATTCTCAAAAGGTGAGTTTAAAGTCAACCAAGCAATTAATTCCTATGCACATTTTTGTTCTGCTTTAAGATTTTTGTTCTTAATCATATATGTAATGTTCCATGGAACACAAGATTCCCTCAGTGGAGTGTATGTGTATGTGATACAGAATATATTTTACATGTAAGATTTTTTGCAAGACTTGGGTCGATGAAATAATAAAATTTTTGCAAGAA